CGCCCTTCTCCCTTGCGGGACTCAGGGCGGTGAACAGGCACATTAATAAAACAGCGATACCATAATATTTAAAAGTATTAAAAACTAATTAAATTATTTGTCCTGTCCTAAAACCCACTATAATAATATAAAATTATACCCAATTTAAAATTTTAGAATTTCGGATTTATGCCAGACCGGCCTCTTGGAACAGATAGGTTTTTAGGGCTCGGCGGAAGAGGCGTATGTCTTATATCTCCTATAAGATGTTATACTAGGATAAAACATGGGAAGATGTTTTATTTTGTGATATAAAAATATAAAATCGAGATGTGAAACTTAACAAATCTATATGTGAGTGCTTCCTATTACTTTTATCCTATACTAGCTGTACCCGGCCACGCGTTGCTGTGGCTCAGTCTGGTTAATGTTGCTGTAGCGTGTGTTGCTTTTATGTCCAACAGATGGCGCTGTTTTTCAAAAAAAGCATGTTTTTACCTGTCACAGGTGTGACATCTATATAATAGTAGGTATATAAAAACACGCGCGTATTCGAATGCAACATTGTGTCAAAATTTCAAAGCAATCGGTGAAGAACTTTCGGAGATTTAAGATTTTGAACAAACGAACATTTACATTTTTATTTATATAGATTCTGTTCTTATAACAATTTCTATATTCTATCTATATTACTTCTATTGGTGCCTGGGAATTAAGGGAGATGCAGATCAAATACATTGGGAGAGTGTTGGTTGATCCAGGGTGCTCAAGAAAATTTTACTTCTTCATGTCCTCCATCTAGACTACAATCTAGTGAAAACTGGAACAACCATATCTACATCTCAACTAGACAGATTGCAGAATAGGTGGTTTATCAGAGAGAGGATGCCTTGCACCTTCAGAAGGACATGACTGGCAGCTTTCTTTCTTTACCTGATAAATTGCCTCATCACAGGCATTCTGTAGTCCTAGGTTGATCATCGTATTTTGCAAGGTCCGGCCCATGTAAAATTCCAAGGAAAGGTAGTAGATTCTCTGGGAGAAAAAAACAGAGTATATAATAAAATCTCACTCAGCCTGGGGCTCCTGATTCCATCATTGCAACCTGTCCACATTTGGAGGAACCTAAAGAGAAGGTCCTTCAACAATCAAAACAAAACAAAAAACAAAAAACCCACCAATGAAACAATGCCTTGGAATGATCTCAATCGATGGAACCCCAAAGAGTTTAAGTCAAAAGAATGCAGAGCATCTCAGGGTCCATCTCAAGGTGCAAAACCTCTTCAAATGCCAAGTTTCTATTTTTCACTCAGCTTCTGAGTAGCATGCTGGAGGTCTTCTCTAAAAACAATAGTCTATATGGCTGGGACAATGTTTGAATTGCAATTCAATGTAAGCAATATGCAATCTAGTTAATATAATTACAGCCATGTAATTATGTATTGCTGTATTAACTATTACATGCAATAATTATTGCATTAACTATTTGTTGTATTAACTATTACATGCAATAATTATCTAATAATCTCTGGAGTCTCTGAGGGTTGCAGCTTTCAAGGTCTGCAAGAAGCCCTGGAAAGGTTCAGATAGCAGATTATGGGGAATATGTAGTCTTCTCATCCAGAAGCTCTGCAGAACCATTGATACTGGGGCACAGTAGTTAGCAGTGGGCTAGATCAGTAAGACAGTACAGGATGGCTTTTTATTCTCCTGGGTGTATTTCAGAATTTCTATGGTCCACTTGAGGACTTGCTTTTTTTTCTTTCTAGGATGGGTACAAAGAATGCTGGACTTTATCTAGAAAGGACACAGATTCACTTGACAGACTATTACCAGATTGTGAAATTGACTCAGACTCACCTTTGGCCCAGATGATTCTACATCACTTTCACATTAGCCTAGCAAACCCAAAGGTAATTCGTTCATTCCCAGCCCCGTGTGTAGCACTCCAAAAGTATTTCCCTAGCTAGCTTTGCTTTTTCACACTTTAGTAAGCAAACATTTTTTTAAAAAAAAAATCACCTCAGGAGCCAAATACTCAACAGTAATCTTTCTGTTATGGATTTGGCTGGCCTAACTGAAGTAAATAAAGGAGCCAGGCCAGGCCTTTTAACAAATGTATGGTTTGATCAAACTTAACTTACTTAAATGTGTAGGTGTCCTGAAGATTCAGTTCAAAGATGACAGATGAAAGACAAGGATGAGCCCCTTGCATCCCCCAATATAGATTTTGAAATAAAATAAGGAACTTACCCTCCCCATAAAACCAAGGTGAACTCTCCTCCTCAAAAAAATCTTAGTTCCACGTAGTACGTGATATAATCTCACCTTCTTTCCTTTTTTGCCTTAACAATTTTTGACCTCAGTCCCTCCAGAACCTACCGATTGACTCTCTCAGTATATTGTTCGGCTGTATATTGGGAACTAGGAGACTACAGAGTCAATCCAAAATCTGCATTTTAATTCTGAGGGTAAATTTGCTAAAGCCAATTTCAAATACACTGTTTCTCTGATTCACTGAGTTGTTATCTATGTATACCTGCTGTATTGTATGTACATTGGCTCTCCTTGAATTCCCTAAAGAGTAGCATCAACACTTAATCGGATGAAAAAGGAGCAGCGGCTTTGCTGCCTGCTGTAGAAACATCCTTTTCTGGCATATATATATAAATAAATTATGACAAAGGATACATTCCTGCCTTATTTTTTCCTTCTAGGTAGGCCAGTGTTTTTGTGTGATGTTATCATTTTTTTAAAAAAATACAAGTAATAACACGTTCTTTGTTTGAAGGATGAATTCCTTTGATCACTTAGGCAAGGAAAGGAAACAAAAAGCTTAGAGTAACCGTGTTCTCTATCAGTTGAACAGATAAGGAATTTCTGTCTACATGGGAATCTCATTTAATCAGATTGAGTTCATCTGATATGATTAAACAAGCAAACAAACAAATAAACAGGCACTTGCACTAGGTACTTCTAAGAAATTTACAAGACATGGCTTGTTCTTCTAAAAAAAAAATGCTATTCGAACATATACTGTTTCTGAATGTGTGTCTTTTTCTAGTTACCAGCCTTTGCAGTCACCCCCACCCCCAGTTGAGATGAAAGCTGCAAGCTATTTTCAGTTGTAAACCCACCACATTGAGGGGACCACAGGCTAATACCTTTTAAAAGTCTTCTAATCTGGTGGGCATCAGATGTTTGAAACATGACTGATTTATTGATTCTGTCTTGTATGAAGAACTCTTTTTCCTTTCCAAAGCGTGGGAAGAAAAATTCTTATTTGCCTTCTCCAAATCTCATTTTCAAGTCTCATTTTATTGATTTGGGTCAAGGTTCTTCTTCCTTCTAAATATCACTCACAGAACATGGCTGAGTGTGCTGCCCAAGAGTCCCATAGAATGTTTTCCATGCTGAATGAAGACTTACATAAAATGCTTGACCATTTATGCTAACCAATGAATTTTTTTTGCTTCCCAATCTCTCCCACTTTATTTGTCTCACCTTGGGGTCCTTTTCATAGTAGTACTGCTGGGTGCGGATCCACCTGCCCACCAGGTGATCCCGTACAGTGTGGGCCAGGGCAAAGTAGTAGTCACGAGGGGTGGCTACATTGCGGTCCTTAACAAGGGTAAAATGTAGATGTCGGTTAAAGCCCTTTTTCAGCTCGGCCACATTCTCCACTCCAACAATGCCACGAATGCTGATCTGTTTACGCTTCTCCTGGTCGGTGAGGGGCCGAGACATGGCTGCCAAGGCTGTGATCTGGAGAAAAAGAGCAGGAAGATTTTAATCTGATCTGCTTTCAGTACCAACAGAGCACTGACCTCGGGTCCTGCAGCCAGCTTCTCTCCTTCTCTCTTTGGGACTAGGTTCTGCTTGGAGGGAGGAGTTTAATAATAATAATAATAATAATAATAAATTTAATTTATATGCCGCCCTTCTCCCAGCGGGACTCAGGGCGGCGCACAACATATTTAAAACAAAACATAAATACATTCCCCCCCGATAAAACCGAATTAAATCAAATTTTAAAGTTGTGTCTCTGTCAAATTGTTAAAAGATAAACCCCAAATAAAATCCTCCCTAG